GAGAAGAGAAGAGAAGAGAAGAGAAGAGAAGAGAAGAGAAGAGAAGAGAAGAGAAGAGAAGAGAAGAGAAAAAAGAAAGGGACGTGAGAGGGATTTAAGAGGCAGGATGAGAGATGGCACATGATGGGGTGTGGGCAATGGTGGGCGACTAGGGAAAGGTTAGGAGGGAAGACAGTGTCTGTGGGAAGGCAGTCAGTTGGAGCCTGAATATGTTTTTCCTGAGCTGTGTCCCAGCAGCAGGTGCAGATATGAAATTGTACTTGACACAGGTGAGAGCAGGGGTTGGGAAGCTGATGTAGAGGCACCAAAAGCTGAAGCCCAGAGCACGCAGGGTTGGCAGGGTGGGGGGTCAGTGAGGAGGGGCCAGCCAGAGACAGAGGAAGAGGGGGCAGGAGAGAGATGAGAAAGGAGAGAAGTCGCCAGCATGCATTCATCCCACAAACAGCGGTGAGCACGGCCTGTGCTCACACCAGTGTAGCCAGACGGGTGGCAAGGGAGCAGGGAGGCCAGGAGGGCTGGCTGTGCTGCGCCGGCCAGTCCCTGGAACAGAGCCCGCATGTGGCAGTGAATCAGTGTTTGGGCAAGGTCGTCTGTGGCATCCGAAAAGCAGAAAGTGCAGGGACCCTGGCCCTGGCTGCAGGGGGACCCAGGGGTGGGGAGAGGAGAGGAGAGGAGAGGAGAGGAGAGGAGAGGAGAGGAGAGGAGAGGAGAGGAGAGGAGAGGAGAGGAGAGGAGAGGAGAGGAGAGGAGAGGAGAGGAGAGGAGAGGAGAGGAGAGGAGAGGAGAGGAGAGGAGAGGAGAGGAGAGGAGAGGAGAGGAGAGGAGAGGAGAGGAGAGGAGAGGAGAGGAGAGGAGAGGAGAGGAGAGGAGAGGAGAGGAGAGGAGAGGAGAGGAGAGGAGAGGAGAGGAGAGGAGAGGAGAGGAGAGGAGAGGAGAGGAGAGGAGAGGAGAGGAGAGGAGAGGAGAGGAGAGGAGAGGAGAGGAGAGGAGAGGAGAGGAGAGGAGAGGAGAGGAGAGGAGAGGAGAGGAGAGGAGAGGAGAGGAGAGGAGAGGAGAGGAGAGGAGAGGAGAGGAGAGGAGAGGAGAGGAGAGGAGAGGAGAGGAGAGGAGAGGAGAGGAGAGGAGAGGAGAGGAGAGGAGAGGAGAGGAGAGGAGAGGAGAGGAGAGGAGAGGAGAGGAGAGGAGAGGAGAGGAGAGGAGAGGAGAGGAGAGGAGAGGAGAGGAGAGGAGAGGAGAGGAGAGGAGAGGAGAGGAGAGGAGAGGAGAGGAGAGGAGAGGAGAGGAGAGGAGAGGAGAGGAGAGGAGAGGAGAGGAGAGGAGAGGAGAGGAGAGGAGAGGAGAGGAGAGGAGAGGAGAGGAGAGGAGAGGAGAGGAGAGGAGAGGAGAGGAGAGGAGAGGAGAGGAGAGGAGAGGAGAGGAGAGGAGAGGAGAGGAGAGGAGAGGAGGGCCAGGGCCGGGAGGGTGGGACTGGGGCTCTGTCCCGCAGGCAGCAGTGCAGCTCAGAGGAGACCAGGTCAGAGGGCCGTCTGCTGCCTGGTGTGGGTTTAGGGGTGCAGAGAATGGCCACAGCCCCCACGTGTCTTAGGGCTTCCTCCCCTCGCTGTCTGGGAGCACGCTGGCCTTCCCCTGAGGTGTAGTTCCTGAAAAACACACATTTCTAAGGAAGGAGAGCGGCAGTCACTAGGCTTTCCTCGGAGCGGGTTCTGACGTGGGTCTGGCAGAGTGTCAGAGACCTGGATGCCCAGTGAGATTAGGCAAAAGACACTTTAAAAAAACTCAAACTGCCACTGCGATGTTTGCCAAGGCCAGCAGGGTGTCAGGGCTTGGTCTCCATCAGCCTGATTTTCCTGACATGCCTCCCACGCCACCCGTCATCCTCTCCCAAGCTCGGCCCCAGCCAAGGTGGCCTGCCGGCCCCTGCCCCTGCTTCTCAGTCCCTCCTGGGACCCTGACTCACCCAGGAAGAGCAGAGCTGTCCACAGTAGCATGTGGCCCCAAGGACGGTGGGATGGACAGCCAGCCTGGTCACTGGCTGCAGGGGGGGGCAGGACTGAGGGGACCCCCATCGCCTCCCAAAGCAGTGGCTCAGGGCACCAGCTTGGCCAGTGCAGGCTCCTCTGGAGGCTAAAAGGCCGCACCCCAGAGGACAGCCAGCTCTGAAATCTAAAAGCAGAAGTGAGAAGGGTTGCTTTGTCACAAGCCCCTCCCTCTCATGCTCTTTCCTTTGACAGTGCCCTCCCTGAAGACTCCAGGCTTCCCAGAATCGGGCTCAGCCCAGCTCCAAATTCACCGAAATTTTAGAAACTGGGAAACGGCTCCCTCCTCTTCCTCTGGGGCCACACCTGGGCCCTGGGAGAAAGAGGAGCTGGGGACCTCCTATCTGTCTGTTTCTTCAGAAAAGGTGACTCCGAAGAGTGTGGCAGTCTTGTCATGCTTCTAGTGACACCTGGAGGCCGGGGCACGGGGACAGACCCCTCCTGAAATCAGTGATGGCCGGGACGGCCCACCATCACTGGGTTGCCCTCCTGGTCATAGCCCACGGCCCCCTCTGGGGCGTGGGACAGGAGGAGAGGTGTGCTAGGGCAAGAGGAGGACGGCCCTGGCCCTCGGCCCTCCCTCATCCTGCTCCCACCCACCCATCCTGCACCAAACCCCCGAGCACAGCCCGCCCTGCCTGCGCGTCTAAGCGTGGATGCCAGGCAGCTTCCCAAGACTTCAGGTTCCCACCCCGTAAACATGAAGACCCCCCAAGCAGGATTTCTCGGCCTTGGGACTATTGACATTTGGGGTCAAATGACTCCTGTTCGGAGGACTTGTCTGTACCTTGTCGGGTGTTTAGCAGACCACTGGCCTCTAGATGCCAGTGACACCCCCAGTTGTGGGCACAGAAATGTCCCCTCGGTTGAGAAGCACTGCACTCGGGGCTGCTGGGAGATAAAGAGGGTCTGGATGCTGGCGAGGCACCTCGCCAGGGCGGTGTCCACCGGACCCATTTCCTTCTTGTGTTTATTCCCCTCATCCTCCTTGCCCCATGTTCGCCTTCAGCACCCCAGAACAGGCCTTGCTCTGGCATCCCCACTGGGGCTGTTTCCCAAATGCCCTCTCAGGAAGCACACTGTAATACTCAAGGAAATGACATCAAAACCCGCAGTCTTCAGAAGCCTCCACAGCCCAGCCTCCGCCACCGGCTCCACTGCCGGCCCGTCCAACCCCCGTCCCCAAGCCACCTCCAGCCCTTGTCTGACTTTCAGCGAAGAACTTGGATCTGTATCCAAGGGTGTTTTAAGTCTTTTGTCACTGACAGACAGTCATTGCTTTTACTCTGTCTTCTGCCAACGTGAGACTCATAGAAAGAACGCTGCCCAGAGCTCTCTACCACCCACATAGATTGTAAGGTGTCCACCTGGCATTCATAGGTCACAAATGAAGAGGGCACCACCTGACTTCGGGTCCTCTACAAACTCTGGAGACCTCAAAATCAAGGTCACAGGAGGAGAAGCTGCTGGAGTCAGAAGCAGACCGCCCCCACCCCTGACTCTGTAGCAGGAGTCTGCCAGAGCTGCTTCGCCAGGCTTCTCTCTGCTCCTTGGAAGCTGCCATTGGCATTGCCAAGGCTCTCACGCAAGCAGAAACCTATTTGATCACTGGTTTTGTCACCAAAGTCTCTGCTTGGTCCATGATGCTGAGACCCTGTCATTCTACCTTTTACAAGCGCCTCCCCGGTTTCCAGTTTCTCTAGACCAAGTGAAGGCCCTTCTCTAACCTGCCAGGCTCCCCAACCCTGACCAGACAGTCAATCTTCCTCCCTCCAATTAACAACCAATAGAAAGAAATCAGGAGAAGAGTGCCTGTGAAGTCCTGCAGTCCTCCCACGCTGTCCTTATTTCCATTCTGAGCCCTGGCAGATCACCCTGTCCTGTTCTTCCCATCGCCAGCACCACCTGTTTGAGGGCTCATCTCCCTCTGTGTAGGACTAGTGCCCCTCACGCTTGGGGACGAATAGACGAAAATGCTGGGGATCTGTGGTCAGAGCTAACTGTGCACATGCAAACCGGGCTGCACCTCTCAGCCTACATCACAGACTCTAGAGGGAATTACCAGGAGGCATTCATGAGCCAAAAGTCGCTGCCCCTCCCCCCAAATCCCAACACTCCCCAACCAACGTTGTTCTTATGAAAGGAAAGCCCTTGGTTATCTTCTGGCTGAGCAGGGAAGCGGCTGTGCTGTGGAAAACACCGCTTGGTGCCCTGGATTCACAGTTCTGGAGAAACTGAGCCTCGGCCACTTGGCTTAAGAAAATGACATTTTCAATGGGCTTTTTGTTTGACCTCTTTGATCTAAGTTGTTTAGGGCTGGGGGGCTGTGGCTTTGGGGTGCCCTCTACTCGTTGGGCATTATTCTGCTTACGGTCATTCTAGTGGCCTCCCTGACGCACTGCATTCTCTCAAAAGCTTTAAATGCAGGCATGAAGCCACTGGTGGCCGGACAAATGACCTCCCTTTGCCTATAACACCAAAAACAAGATGAAGGAAACAGCCAACTAAGGGACCGAGATCTTGATATTCTAACCTGTGAATCTCAGTCCAAGACCCAACCTGGCTCCCACACCAACAGAAAGCAGTAGCTCAGAGGGTGTTAATACCTTAAATTTTTGCCAGTATTCTCACTGAGGATTGATCAAAGTGGGGGAATTGATAAAGTCAATTCGTAACATAAATCAGGACCCACAGCACGGAGACAGCCTGGCGGCCCAGCCCACATCCCAAATCTAAAGTAAGTCAGCTTACACTCACAGGCAACACCTCTGGAGGACCTAATGTTCACCAACCTCAGTGCTCCAGCTGTGTCAGCTACCTCACCCCACCCTACAAAACAGGACCTGCTGGCCAGCCACACCTCATGTCCCAGTCACCTCTTCCAACTGCCCATAAAACTTGCTCTTGCCCCAAACCCCCCGGAAGAGGGCTCCACTGCCTGAGAGGCTCTGTGGTCCTCCCACCCATGGATGGCTTTTCCTTGAATATAGGACATCGAAGTCATTCCTTAATTGTTTAGTTTTGCCATTTGATAAAACAATGGCATAGAGCAATAAACACACCAAGAGACCAAAATTTATACTTACTGTGTGAGTGCATGAATGCTACTGGGAGGAGGCACCTTACATGTTTTATCTTTAATACCTGAAAGGTAAGTTATATCACCCTCATTTGCACATCAAGAAACTTAAAAGATAAGCTGAGGTGTAATACAATTTTTAGGAGTTTATTTGAGCAATAATTAACTGCAACAGGGCAGTGCCAAACGGAAGGGCTTAGGAACCCCCCACCAGCAGGAGTTGGGCAAAGACGGTCCTGCAGAGAAAGCAGATGCATGGCAAAGACATTGTTTAAGTGGCTGTAGCACACACTTTTGCACTATCAGAAAGTTGAATTAGCTGCTTGTGGTCGGGTGTGGAGGGAGCAGAATATGCGGACCCCAGATGTGCTTCTTTGGTGTGATTATTTCTAAGAACAGCGGACACAGGAGATGCCCTGAGCACCTGCTGTGAGAGACACTGACAAGGTAAGCTTCCATCTCTGTACCAAGGTGACTCTAACTCACAAGAAAACTCTTATCATCGTTGGAGAAGGCACAGACTTAAGTCAGCGTAACAACTCACCCTCTGCTGCGCTTTTCTTGATAACGTCCCCAAACTGGACCCCCAAAAAACACACCTTTCTTTTGTCTTTAGCTGAAGATAGTATTTAAGGTGGTGGCTTGGCCATTTGGGGGAGTTACTTGGTTTTCCTGGTTATCTCCCAGGTATACAGGAGGCATACATGTTATTTAAATTGTTTTTCAATCTGTCTTTTATGGGGGGGGGTTCTCAGCCAAAACCCTAGAGGGGTAGAGGGAAAATTATTTCCCTCCCCTCCAAAACCAAAACAGAAACAGTAGTCTCTTCTTCCCATGACAGTTGGGAAAAGACTAAAAAACGAACAAAATCGACCTAAACACAAGAGGCATTTCTAAAAGAAATGAACACAAGCACAGGGCACGCTACTTGTTGAAAACTGGAATATGCCTATGAAAAGAGAGTTCTTTGAAAGGGACAGCTTGATTTAAAACGTGTATGTCAGGAGGTAGGAAAGATATGACTAATTCAGAAATCAAAAAAGCCCAGTGGTTAAGAGCAGGAGTTTGGAAATAGAGCCGGCCAAGGGCCTTGCCCCGTCCCCACCGTGTGTCCCTAGATGTTTCAGCCGTCCTTTCTAAGCCTTGCTGCTGGTCTTAAAGTGGAGATTACATTAATATTTACCTTATAACGGTCTCATGAATATTAATGACAAAACCTATGAATGATGCTGTTAAAAACAAATTCAACTGAGTAAATTAAAGATCTTACTGACTTTATTCAATGATTCATGAGTCCAGCAGCATTCAGTCTGGCTCTGAGGAGCTGTGCAAAATGAGAGACTTTTATAGGCAGACAGGAGCAGGGCGAGAAAGTTTCGCCAGGCCAGAGAGATTGGTTATGGTGAGGCCACATTCCCTTAGGGGCTGGCAGGGCTGTGTCAGGCAGACACCTAAGTAGTCCGATCAGGCGATTCCTGATAGACCTGTGTAAGGTTCCATTTCAGAGAAAGTCAAAACTGTAACTAAGTCTAGGTTTGATGATGTGGGGCTTACTTAGCATAGGTGACTCCATTTTGGTTGGGCCTGTTGTCTTGTTTTTAACAATTCTTAACCAGAAGCTGACATATAAATTTAGTGTTTATTGTCATTAAAGACTAGGAGAATCTGGCCCAATGTTCCCAGTGGGATTGGTGTTTAAGCATCACTTTGAGAAGAGCAGATATGTACCATCAACTCAAATGGCTCCAGCTCTGGACTCCCTGAGATTCCAGCCACTTGCTTCACAAGGGGCTCTTTTCTCTCTTTTCTGCTTGGTTGGGTGTTGTTTCTCTTCCTCTTTGTACCCTAGCCACCCTCCAGTGGATTCCCATGATTGCTTTATGAGTCCGCCCTAAGATTTCCTCCTTCTAGCCACTTCCTCCAGAGCTGAGCCACCCTCGGCAACACCGCA